TTTTTTTTTTTTTCGTTTTGCACAAAATTACTTCATTAATTAAAAGACAAAAATAATACAGAACATAAATACATATTTAACAGATTTAAAAAAAAAAAAAAACAACCCAAAAACAAAACAACCAAAAACACTTGAAGCTTCCAAAAACAAAAAAAAAAAAAAACCAAAAAACCCAAACAAAAATGTTAATTACAGCCAAACCTTGCTTAGAACTCCTAAAAAAAAAAAAAAATAAATCAACGAACACTTCAGACACTGAGTTGGTTGGTCCCATCAGACTCTTCCCACGGGATTATTTTGGGATTTTGGGGCTCATCCCTGTTGGTCCCAGTGAGTTCCTGCCCTCAAGGTTGGTCCGTTCCTCACATTGCAATAGACCCTGAAAGTCTCAAACAGCTTTTGTGGTGTTTGGTGTCCCCCTCTCTCTGCCCAACCCCTGCTCCACGTTTTGCACTTGGCCAAACTTCCAGGCCCAGCGACTTCGGCTCAGTCCTCCCAGAGGAGGGGAGATTTTTGTCCTTCATTTACTCAAAAAGCATCGCTGGTCCTTTTCCTTTCGTGTTTTTTATTTATTTTTTTTGTTGTTGTTGTTGTTGTTGTTGTTTTCCCTCTTGTGTTTTTAAATCTTTTTAGTCCTTTGTTTGGTTGCTTTTTTTGTTGCTTTTTATTTTTTTTTTTTTTTAAATTTCTTAACTCCTACGAATCAAAGAGAAAAAAAAAAAAAAAAAAAAAAAAAATAGAGCTCTGTCCTTTCGGGGAGTTTTCTCTTAGCAAGGTGGCAACGAGCAGAAGTTCCCAGCGGCTCGGGGAGGCACTTTGGAAACACTCCACGCTTTTTTTTTTTTTTTTTTTCTCCTCCTCATTCCTTCATTAGTGCATAATTCCAGGGAAGCCTGGGGAAAGCTGCAGGAATCCTTTAAGGCCTGGTGAGCGTGGTGTACACGGGCTGCTCCCAGTTGGCGCTGGGGCTGTGCGCCGGCGGGATGGACAGCCCGTTGAGGATGGGGGTGGCGTAAGGACGGCGTGAGGAATGGAAATAAGGGTACTGGTACAGACTGGAGGCGTAGCCGGGGTAGGGGTTGTAGTAGTTGGAGCTCTGCAGGTCCGTGTAGTCGCACTGAGAGCTGGAGAAGGAGGAGGCGGCGGCGGCGGCGGGCGCGGCCGAGGTGGCGCAGGGCTGGGCGCCGTACGAGCCGTACGAGTCGGAGTGAGGCGGCGAGCCGTGCGGCTGCTCGCTGTAATGGCTGGGGCTCAGCTGCTCCGTCTTGATGTGAGGCCTCTGCTGCTGCTGCTGCTGTTGTTGCTGCTGGCCCGGCTCTGCCGCTGCTGGCGATGCTGCAGCCGGGCTCTTGTGAGTCCACACCTGTGCGGCCGCGCCCGAGTGCGGGAAGGAGCTGCCGTAGGAGGCGGCGGCGGCGCCGTGCTCGGCCGGCAGCGCCCCGTGCCCGTTCAGGGGCAGGTACTGGTCGAACTCGTGCACGTCGAAGGTCTCCATGTTGTTGATGACCTCGCTGCTCAGCTCCGAGATGTCCACGTTGCTGAAGTCGATGTTCTGGCGGCCGCTCTCCACCAGGCGCCGGCCCTCGTGTTTCAGCTCCTGCTTGCTGCCGTGGTGCAGGTCGGTTTTGGGGGTGGTGGGAGGTGTGGGGGGTCCGTGGGGCTGGCCTGGGGATGAAGGGACAGCGAGGTTTCAGTAGTGGCCACAGAACACCCAGCTCTGCCACCACGCAATAGATGGGCCTCACCCATCTGTTATTGCTCTTGTTGGGGACCACAGAACACCCAACTCCCGCACCATTCAATAAACGTGCTTTAGCTTCTGTTACCGCTCTCTTTTGGGCCACAGAACACCCGGCTCTGCCACTATTCAATAAATCTGTTTCATCTATCTGTTATTGCTCCCTTTTGGATCACAGAACACCCAGCTCCTTCACCACTCAATAAACGTGCTTTACCTATCTGTTACTGCTCTCTTTTGGACCACAGAGCACCCAGCTCCCTCACCACCCAATAAATGTACTTTATCCATCTGTTATTACTCTTATTGGGGAGCAAAGAACACCCAGCTCCTTGACCATTCAATAAACGTGTTTCACCCATCTGTTATTGCTCTCTTAGTGGATTGAAGTTGGCAGCACCGTGTCAGACATGGGTGATGTCCCCCTGTGACCACGTTCCCCCTGGGATGAGCATCCCACATGGGAGATGGGATGAAGCTGGGAGCCCACCAGCATCACCCTGGGACACAGCAGGACTCCCCAGTGCCAGGGCAGCAGAAGCAGGGGGGTGGATTCACACAGTGAACCCCATGAAGGAGCTCATCCTCTCCCCCTGTGGCCGTCCCGAGGCAGAGGGACCCAGGGCCGTGATCCCAGTGGGATCTGAGGCTACAGGACACTCACAGTGCTGGGAAGCTCTGCCTCTCACTAACCCATCATTCATCCTCCCCATCCAGGGAGATCCCGGTGCTTTAGGATTCCCTACAGCACAGTCAGCTCGAAGGAAAAAAAACTGCGACCACGCTGCCAAGCATTTGGCACAACAACTCCTGCCTGCAGCTGTGCACAGTGGGATCCCCTCCCTCCCTCCCAGCCCAAAGCACGGCGAGCAGGGGGAAGAGCACCCTTTACCTGTGTGGTCGCCGTGGTGGTGGGATTCGGCCATGCCCCCCAGCCCCGTGTCTGCCTTGTAGAGCTGAGTGCCGGCGTGGTGGCTGAGCTCAGCCCCCGAGTCCGAGTCGCTCTGCCCGGCTTTGACGCTTTTCCTCCTCCGGGGCTGGTATTTGTAATCCGGGTGATCCTTTTTGTGCTGCACCCTGAGGCGCTCGGCTTCCTCCACAAAGGGACGTTTCTCGTTTTCGCTCAGTAAACTGGGTTTTGGTTGTTTTAATGAGAGAGAAAGGAAAAAAAAAAAAAAAAGCCAAAATTAGGATCTTTTCCTTAAAAGTTTTCTTCTTGTTTTTAGACTCGCACATCTCCGCTTCCTATGCGCGGATCTGAGCGCTCAGCAAGTTAATTACAAAATTAATTTGCTGTGGTAAAAAGGAGTTGAAATCCAGGGCAAAAAAAAAAATAGATTAAAATACCAACTACAGCAGCATGAAAAACCCGACCACTATAGACAGGGGTAACTGGGCAAAACAAAATCCCCCTTCCCCATTTCCAACACAATTACAAAATATAATTCCCATGTTTGCCCTGCAAATGCCACCCCCTCACCGCCACCACAAACATTTCCAGCTTTGTTTGGTGCTTACAAAGAAACCACCAAGGCACCAGGGATGGGATTATTGCTTTCCAAACTCTCTCCCCCCTGCCCACACTTCCCTTTGCAAACTCTTGGAGAGGCTCAAACCTCAGCGGGAGCATCGCTGGCCCGAGCAGGCAGGAAAGATGGGAATTAGGTACAGGCAGACACCACGGGATAAACCACACGGAAAAACGTGGCTCGGGGAAGAGCCTTGGAAAGCAAAGCGAGCTCGGATGCTGCCCAACAAATAAAAGTTTGCATCCCCGGGCAGCGCTGAGCAGATAAGCAGGGAAATTAGGAAGCTCGTTAAAATAACCGCTAAAAATGAGTTCAGTCGCGTTTATAGCTTGTTAAGCATCAAGCGAGCCAAAACGGGGGGAAAAAAATTAGGAAAAGCCATAAAACAAGTCATTAAAAAAGTCTCATCGCGCGGGGATGGGGAAGCCGCAGGCAAGGGAAGGGCTTGTGCATCTCAGTGACGGAGCAGGGAAAATCCACCCGAGGGTGCCCAAACCCCTGCTCGGGGGATTTTTCGCAGCAGGAACCTCTGCGTCCTTTACAGCGTGCCGGGATGCTCGGGGAGAGCATCGTACTCCGCTCAGAACCGGAGATTAACAGAAACAAAGCGGGCAGAAGCTTTAAAGAAGCGCTGCGAGGGGGACTCACCGCCAGAGCTTGCCCAGGGTCTTGCTGAGCTCGGCGTTGTGCAGATGCGGGTACTGATCCGCCAGCTTCCTGCGGGCGGCCTGCGCCCACACCATGAAGGCGTTCATGGGTCTCTTGACGTGCGGCTTGGCTTTGAGCGATCCGTTGCCGCGGACGGGCATGGGCACCAGGCTCCAGTCGTAGCCCTTGAGCACCTGCGAGACGGCGTCGCGGATGCAGGCGGGGAAGCGCTCGTCCACCTCGGCCGCGTCCACCTTGGCCCCCAGCGCGGCGGCGGCGGCGCCGGGAGGGCGCGGGGCGGCTGCGGGGGCGCAGCCCAGCCCCTCGGAGCCGGCGGGGGAGAGCGGCGAGTCCGAGTCCGAGTCCACGTGGGACATGGAGCTGGTGGTGCCCGCGGGGCTGCACGGAGCCTCCAGCGCTTTGTCGTGCTCCTCGGTCATGTTGAGCATCGGCGGGCGGCAGAGAGCCTGGGGCCGGCCGAAGCGCTGTGCCCGCCCCGGGGGGAGCCGCGCAGCCTCCGCGGCTCCCGCGGGTTAAGCGAGTAAAAAAAAAAAAATAAAAACAATAAGTTCTAGAAGGGAAAAGACACGAAACGCTCAAAACTCAGCCCAAAATCCGCGCTGCGCTTTCCGCCCCTCCCCGCTTCTCGCTCCGCAGCCGGTCCCGCCGCCGCTGCCGGGGCCCCGCGCTGCCCCGCGCCGCGCTCCACGTCCAGTGCGAAACGGGGCCCCTGGCAACAAGTTACTTTAAGGGCAGGGCGAGCGGCCCCGCCTCCGCCGCCGCTCGCCATTGGTGGAGAGGGAGAGATGATTTGAATAAGGGGCGTGGCTTGGGGCTGGCGGGGCCGTGCCGCCCGCGCGCCGCCTCAGAGCCCTCCCGGTCCGCTCGGCCGGAGCCGCCGCCAGCAGAGAGGGGTCCGGGCTGAGGGACCCCCCCCTCCCCTCCCGAAAGATCCGACCGAGGAATCTGCTGAGGGATCCCCTGAGGGACTCCCTGAGGGACCGGCCGAGGGTCCTGCTGAGGGTCCCGGCTGAGGAACCCCCCGAGGAACCCGCTGAGGGATCGGCCGAGGGACCAGCCGAAAGACCCGGCTGAGGGTCCTGCTGAGGTTCCCGGCCGAGGAACTCCCCGAGGAAGCCGCTGAGGGTCCCGGCTGAGGCACCCACCGAGGGTCCCGCTGAGGGTCCCGGCCGAGGCTCCTCCTGAGGTTCCCGGCCCAGGGTCTTGCTCTGGAACCCCCCGAGGGTCCCGTTGCCGGTGCCGCCGCCGCCCGGGCCCGGTGGATGCCACCACCCGCCGCTGTTCCGGCTCCCTGTTCCGGCTCCCTCTTTCGCCTCCTCTGTAATATTTTTTTTTTTTTTTCCGCTGCAAATCCTCCGGGGGTTTCCCCGCCGTGCGGTACCAGCGGGATGTGTTTGATATTTATTTTGCAGCCCGGTTTTCTAGCGGGGTACCGGGAAGGGTGCGGGATGGAGCGGCGGGAGCAGCCGCGGAGAAAGAGGCGCTCAGCGGTGCCGTGGGACCGCCGGTTCTTTAAAATCTTTAAAATCCCCTTTTCGAGGCGTTTTTTGGGGCGGTCGGTGCGGGGAACCAAAACTCCGTGTGTGTCCCCGCAGCCCTGAGCGCTCTCTCCAGCGGAGGAAATCGGGGAATTTTTGGAAAAAAGCCACAAGAGACCCTCCGTGTGCCCTCCCCGACTGTCCCTCCTCTTTTCCCGCAGCTTTCCCGCAGCGGGCTCGGTCCCCAGCACCGGGAGGTCCCGGCCGGAGGAGGATGCGGCACCTCGGGGTGAGCCTTTGGATCGGGGGAAAAGGGAGGGTGAGCCCCAAAATCTCAATTTAAATCGCCCCTTTCCGAGTCAGCCCGGCTCTCCCAGCATTTATTTGGAGCATTTGATTCTAATTATCCGCGGAATTCAGCCTCCTAATTGCGACTGGGGGGGGGGAAAGGGGAGGGAATAAAAGCAACTCCCCAAATTCCAGTTTTATCCGCTGCTTCTCCCCGGAAAAATAGAGGGTCACATAGAAGACTGGCAGGGGAGAAAATAAGAAATTGAGCTTCAAGCATTCCAGCGTTTAAAAAGTACCAGGAACGTGGTGTTTTTTTGTTTAATTACTGTGATGTGTAATAAATAAACCGTATGCTTTGAATTTAAATGTGTTAAAATGTGCCCGAATATCCGTCTGCATTCTATGTGAAAATTCATTTATTCTCTCAAATGGCAAAGCAGGATTTAATTTTATTTTTTTTTCAAATGTAATTTTTCCAGTTTTCAGCTTTCTGTTTGCAGAGTTACCTCCTGATATATTTGAAATACAATTTTCAAAGCAGCTTAAAAAAATATTTTAAGGCTCAAGGGGAACGAAATATGTTGGACTTGCTAATGAGGAATAATTGAAATTTTCTTCTAAAACTTAATGAGATTGGGGATGAGTTGATGTTTCCCTGGGCTGTGGATTGGTGACTTTGCAGTGCTGTTGGACACTTGGGAAAATCTTTTTTCCCCCCCTCTCCTGCGACACATAATTAATGTATATTCCTATAATTCCTGTCTTACTGGGCAATTTACCTTGCCTCACAGAATTCCAGTGTTTCATGCCTTTTAGCCAGGGGTGAGTCCAAGCAATAATCACTATTTTTAGTCCATCTTTCCCAACCCAGCCTCTCCTGTGGAGCACCTTCCTCGGAACATCCCAACCTCAATGCGTGACTGAGGCTGGCAAGGGATTTGTGGGATGCTCGGAGTTTTGGAGGTAGGAATGGGAACAAGAACCCCTTTTTTTTTCTGTTCCCTGCTTTCAGCTCCAAAGATTCCTGCACAAGAAGCCCCCAAGGACAGGAGGAATTACAGAATTACAGACGTTGGTTTTCTCCCCTGCTCGCTGCTGCCTTGCAGGGTTCCCCAGCCCTGCCCGAGGCAGGGAATTACATTTCCCAGCCCACAGGTTTGAATTCCTCTTTGTCCAGCACAGGTAGAAGGAGGAAGATGACTTTTGGGTGGTTGTTTCCTTTTATTGCAGAGATGGGCTCAGGGATGAGGCCGTGCCTGGGAGCGGGGCAGGGAACGTGTCCTGCTGCACGTCCGTGATCCTGCACCGACCATTCCGTGTTCCCCGGGATGGAGCCACGATTGCCTGGCCTCACACACCCAGGGCACGGGGAAAGGAGGGAGCTGGAGCTCCTGGAGGTGCTCTGCTTTCCTGACAAGTTCACTCAGCCATGAAATGGAATGAGATAAATGCTCAGGGAACAAGTGGGTTCAAGTGGGGCCGTTCGTGCTGCGGGGTCTCGTGGCCGGATTTTGTATGACAAAGGATCGGGAATGTTTGCCCAGGGCTGGGCACGGGCTGGAGCTGCAGGGCAGGATCCCACAGGATGTGTCATCCTGGCCTGACACAGCAGGCCCTGACATCAGCATTCCCAGGAAAAGGGCACAGACCCGGGAGGGATCCGAGCTTCCTCTTGCCCACTGCGGCCTTTTAGGAGTTGAGAGAGGATTTGGGGGAGCAGCTCCAGCTTTTCCTGACAGAGTGAGCACGGCAGAGGTTGATATTTGGAATATTACTTCATTTTCTGACGTGGCCTCTGATAAAGTTCCTGGTCAGCTCAGCCAGTGTTTCTGGGAATCAGGCAGTAAATCCAAGCTCTGTGTGCCTGGCTCCATCACATTCCCGCTTGGGAATCCTCAGCATCCCTGTGGGATGGAGCCATTCCCGTGTTCCATACCCTTCCTCCTGCAGGAATAAGAGCGTGTGTGCATTGGCTCCAGAGCAGGCAGAGCCCTGCTGGTGCCAGGAAGGAAAAATTTCCTTTCCAGTGGCAGCCAGGGAAGGCATTTTTAGAGGATGAGAGCACATGGAATCTCTGGAGCTCGTGGATGGGCTCTGGGATACACACACACAGTTCCTACTAAAGGTGGGCTCCATCAAAGGGGAAAGTTCTCATTTATCCCAAACTGAGATAAATCCTTTGACCTGCCAGCACATTGCACATGGGAATTCCAAGGAGCAAAGAAAAAGGAATGGGGAATTAAAAACAAACCCTGATCAGATAAGAGGAACCTGCAGTGGTAAAATCAGCCTGGGACACCTGCAAGATTAATGCTCAGCCCACAGGAGAGGGCAGCTCCTCTGAACAATGTTCAAGCCTTTCCAGAAAAAATCCTGATATTTGAAAAGGAATAAAAAGACTGGTGGTGACTTCAATTAATTTCAATTAATTTTGCCCTCAAGCTGGACAATAATGGTGGGTCCCATCCCTCACTGGGTGCTTGGGAAGGCTCCACTGCCTGCTCATGCAATTTTAAGGCTAAATTCATGTGGATCCATTCCTTGCAGGTCACTTCAGGTCCAAAATTTGCTTTTTGTTGAGCCCTGCCTCACCCAAAGCTCACATGGCTGTGGCACTTGGGGACAGGGGTTAGGGGTGGATGATCCAAGGGGGCTTTTCCATCCCAATCCCACAACTCTGTGACCTGCAACAGCTCTTCTCCAACATGAATATTTACCTGGTGTGGATAAAAAAAAATTCTGGACACCTGCATTGGGCAGAACTCCACTGATGTCTCTGTTTCCTGCTTGGAATGCAAGTAGAGAGGAGTGCCTGGGATTCCTAAATCCTTTTCCAGGTTTGAGCAGTGGATACCAAAGAAAAAGGACATCTGCTGTCAATATTTTTATTCAAAAGAATTGAATATTGAATAAAGTTTATTTGTACTTATTAAAGTATTGAATCAAGTTTATTTGTTATTTATTCAAGTATTCGAAGATCCTAGCCAGAAACCAAAAATGTTTCTGCAGGATCAAAACCCACCCATGCGTGAATTACACATTAAATGTTAAGTGTTGGCAAAGGATCTCTTCTTTCCTCCTGCACTGCACAGCCTGGATGGCATCTTCTCAAAATAAAGGGGATTATTGTGATTAATCAGGATTATTGTGATTATTAATTGCTTATCCTGTGGTACCACTAAAGGATCCCTCATAAACCTGCACGAATACACGAGAAAAAAAAAAAAAAAAGGTGATTCTTCTTCTAAAAATCCTTCCCAGCCTTAATCCTGGAGTTAAAGGGCAAATTTCCACAGGGAAAATTGAGGATTTTAAAGGGAAGAATTATTACTGCTGGGGAAAAAAAAAAAAAAACTTAGATGAAGAAAGCCCCCAAATTCTTTGGGCCGTGCCCATCTCCCCTTCAGCGAGCGCAGCTGAGTGCTCGGTGTGTGCCTGCATTATTCCCAGCTCAATGTCTGCTCTCTTCAGAGCAGCCCCCCGTGCTCACGCTGCCTCCAAACTCCCGATTTCAGCTTTCTCTGCTCCTTTTCAACCCAAATCCTGGCAGCCAGAGGGGCGAAAGGCCGGAGCTGAATGAACACAGAGAGATTTCGGGTGCCAGGGCCAGGCAGAGGGGTTGGGGTGCTGCTGGGGACAGCTGCTGGCTGCTGTGACAG